GTGGCGCCTTTCCACTCACACTATTCATTTCTAATTTATTTTTTTTAAGACACTCTGCACAACAAATAGGAGAAGCTTGAGCTATGTGAAGACACCAGAATTCCCCAAATAGACTGAAGGGTTAGTGCTACTTTACTGCAGGTTTATGCAGTTAAAATGATAACATGTACTACTTTTGTTTCAGAGATAAAGATGTATCCTTAAGGTCATCCAGAGGTCACCATCCCCCCATTAAGCTCTGAATTAAACCAAAGGGATCTTGATAGCATTCCTCATTTCATCCTTTGATAAAATAATTTTCTCTATATTCCATTTTCACTGAAAAACATTTATTCTCGGCTGCACTTACTCAGCCTATGTCACAACTGTAGTCAGTTCCTGATTGGTTGCTGCAACGTGATTTTAGAGAAAAGTTCAAATTTTTCAACTTTACTGCTCTTGCCCACTCGATTTGCATAAGAATACTATTCACAACTTAGTCCTAAACCTAACAAAGCAAAATAGGAAGTGAGCAGCAGCAAATTGTCCTCACTTTAGAACAAACACTCCTCATTTCTATGGAGGGATCTGAAAAATGGTCTTCAATCGGTTAGCAAGACATGATCACAACTCCATGTATGTATACTATATTGTCAAAAGTGTTTGCTTACCCAAAGTATTGGAATCACTTGATGAGTAAAGCTGTTACGTTTTTTCTTCGGATTGGTGACCTATTTCCATCCTAGGGCGCAAATATATTTGTCCATTGACTCTCGTTAATAGTTGTACATGCACAGTAGCTCCCCTGTAATACAAAGTATAGGAAATCTCAGGGTGCAGCTATGGTGCGCTGAGAGGTGACAGGAACTGTTGTCACAGTTGTAGTGAGGGTGATTGAAATTCCTTGGAGAAAACTTACCAAGAGGAGCTGGAGGGCAGAAGGGCAACATTTATGTATAAAAAGTAAACCTGTACATGAAAATTAGGTTTTGTTTTCATAAAGTGTTTTTATAATGTTTTTTGTTGTTGCCATTCATATAAATATGCTGGTGTGATAACTTTTATGAATTTATAGCCCACCCTGGAGAAAACTCCACCAGCCACCACTTATTGAACCCCTATGGGTAGGCATGGGATATCACTTAAACTCATATGTGCAGACCAGACATAGATAGATAGATAGATAGATAGATAGATAGATAGATAGATAGATAGATAGATAGATAGATAGATAGATAGATAGATAGATAGAT